GATGGTGTTCTTGGGGTCATAAGTAGCATTCCTCCTCCTCCAAACATGTTGAGTTGATGACAAAGAGCTTGATTTTGGTCTCATCTGACCACAACACTTTTAACCAGTTGTCCTCTGCATCATTCAGATGTTCCGTGGCAAACTTCAGACGGGCCTGGACATATGCTTTTTTGAGCAGAGGGACCTTGCAGGCACTACAGGATTTCAATCCTTGTCAGCGTAGTGTGTTACCAATTGTTTTCTTGGTGACTGTGGTCCCAGCTGCCTGAAGATCATTGACAAAATCCTCACGTGTGGTTCTGGGATGATTCCTCATTGTTCTCATGATCATTGACACTCCACGAGGTGAGATCCTGCATGGTGCACCAGATTTAGGGAGACTGACAGTTGTTTTGTGTTTCTTCCATTTGCGAATGATTGCACTAACTGTTGTCACCTTCTCATCAAGCTGCTTGGCGATAGTTTGGTAGCCCAGTCCAGCCTTGTGTAGGTCTACGATCTTGTCCCTGACATCCTTGAACAGCTCTTTGGTTTTTACCATGGTGGAGAGTTTGGAATCTGATTGTTTGATTGCTCCTGTGGACAGGTGTCTTTTATGCAGGTAACAAAATGAGATTAGCAGCACTCCCTTTAAGAGACTGATTCTAATCTAAGCTTGTTACCTGTATGAAAGACACCTGGTAGCCAAAAATCCTGCTGAATGATAGGGGATAAAATACTTCTTTCCCGCATGAACATACAAATCTGTGCATAATTTGTTAGAAATGCATTTTTTTTTGTTGCTATTCTGTCTCTCAGTGTTACTGTGTGGGTGTGGTGTGTTGTGGTGTAGTTTTGGGGTGTGTGTGTGTGTGTGTGTGGGGGTGGGGGGTTGTTTGGGGGAAAATTGGGGGAATCTCTCAAATATTTAGAGAGTCTTAAATAAAGGATGTATTTAAACAATAGGAAAATAATTTATTATTTATCTGTTGTATATAATTTTGTTTAAGACGCTTGAAGGGATAGGGCTTGAAGAGGGCAAATGGAGTCTGTTGGTAAATTTATATGCATATATTGTAGACTGTGAAATATTTAAATATTACGATAACTGGAGCTAAACGCTTGGTTAATGTGAAGTGTGTTTTTCTTGTGAAAATAGAAAAAGTTAGATAGATAAAGATGGTCTGATTGAAAAAAAAAAGGTGTTCACCTTTACAGAAAAAATGTAGAGGTGAACTAACACTGTACACCTCCCTGCCTGCCCCACTGTCCCTGCTGTATCTTCCTCCAGGGATGTTAAGTTATCTATTCCCACACAACTTTTCCACTGGTACAGGTATTTGAAATCTGCGCTTATCTCCCTTTTTTCAGCACAGCTCTTCTAGGACAGACCAGAGCAATTCAGTGTGCAGGCGCTGAGCAATCAGAATCATTCTGGTCTGTCCCAGAAGCCCTGCACTGAGAATAGGGAGAAGAAGGGCATTTCAAATCTCCAGACTGCTGGACCCCGCTGCGTGGGTATTGAGAGGTCCGCATCCACGGAGAGAAGTAGAGCAGAGACCGTGTACAGGGTAGAAGGGTGTACGGTGTTTGTTAGAACATCCAAGTGCAACCATGGCTGCTTGAATACAATATTTGGCAGTGAAGTTTCCTTCATACACACTGTTTTACGTGGATGGGGAAATCAACTGGGAAAAGGGCCTTGATTGGTGAAGATAGTTTCAGAAGTTTAACCACTTCCCGTCTGGCCCATGTATATACGGAACGGACGGACGGGGAGCAGTGCAGGGGCGGGCGGCCGTTTATAAATGGCCTCCCCGCCCCCTGCTTGTGCGCGCTCCCTGGGACACAGTGGGACACCGATCGTTGTCCGGGGCCTCTGTGTGAGGTCCCGATCATGTGATCACTGATTGGCCAATCAGTGATCACATGCAGAGTAGTTAGCAAAATGTCACTTCTGACATCATTGCTTACTACGTGTGAAATCTGTGAATGATCACAGAGGTCACATGGTACAAGGCTATTCACAACAGCCTTGTACCATGTGACAAGCTGTGACCAATCACAGCTCACACAGTATTTCTCAATGGCTGCAAGAATGCAGCCAGAGAGAAGGAGAAATTATTGCTTTTACAGCCTTTATGAGTGTAAAAGCAATCAGTGTAAAAAAAAAAAAATCTTCATAACCCCCCAGAAGTAGTACAGTGTCACTATGGTGACACTGTACTGCTAGGGTGACCGTATGTACAAAAAAAAAATGAATAAAAATGTAAAAAGAATTTATAACAATTATTTTTGGTTATAAACTAATTTTGGGGGTTTTTTTTTTTTGTGCTAAAAAGATAACTGAATAACTTTTGTCCAATATTTATGAAGAAAGATTATTTATTTGCAAAATAAAAACACCTTTTTTCAAAAATTTTGGACGGTTTCATTTATATAGCAAAAAAAATAAAAATCACAGTGGTGAATAAATACCACCAAAATAAAGTTTTATCTGTCCCAAAAAAATGCTAAAAAATTCATATGGGTACAGTGTTGCATGACCGCACAATTGTCATTCAAAGTGTGATAGCGCTAAAAGATGAAAATTGTTCTGAAGTGGTTAAGTCAGGTTATTGTCCACCAGCCTTGGGCTTGACAGACAGTCTTTGCTGCATGGTGACAGGTTTTTTTTTAATGTATTTATTCCCTCAGGATAATAAAACTCCAATAGGTGTCCAAGTATTTAAGAATTTTCTTTCCTGTCGCACCTGTGAATGTTTTCAAGCGTGTGCAGCTGTTACTTTCCCTCAGCTTGTTGTTGCTAAGGAAGTAAAGGAGACTGATGACAACTAAGCCTAGACAATTACATGACTGGAGCTCAAGGATTGTTCTAAATAAAGGAGAAGTTTGGTGTTCACAGAATATAATCATATATACTCACCTCTATGTTGCAGCATCAGTATGATGCTGCTGCTCCACGTCGGCTCTTGGACCCGAACATTGAATGATCACATGACTACTGAGTGCTCAGTTCTCACTCTGCTTGGAGGAGAGAGTGGTGAATGTCCGTCATGGCTTTGTGCTCTGCTCCTGCATCGCCCACTGGAATGCTGGGCAGGGAAGGGAGTGGGCGCAGCTGGCTCCAGCTCTCAATCAGGCAGTTGGTTAGATACCGACAAAATTGTCAGATCTTTCCCGAGCCTTCTGTTCCTGATTCTGGGTTGCAGGAGAACAAAAGTAAACCACAGGGGAAGTATGACCAAAAAATCTTCGGACATACTTTTGTTTTAATGGTGCAGCTGCACAGTAATGATATGCCAAGAATTAATTTAGGCAGACTTGTAAAATTTTAATTTAAACCCGCAGTGATGGTGTAAAAGTAGCGCACACACTTAGCAGTGATAAACTAATCAGAAATAACAAATATTTAAAAAAAATGAAACAACCCAATAATAATTTAAAAAAATGTCATTAATATGTGAAAAAAATAATAAAGTGAAAAAATTAATTAATGTGAATCCAAATAAAACCTCACATATTTAAATCCACCATGTGATGAAACAACTTCCAGTGAAAAAGAAGAATATCCAGTGATTGAAAAAAACACAGTGGTCACGGTGCGCCCCCACAGGGGTGTGCACTTACCAGTGCGATATTGTGTATTTCACACTATTGATTTCATACACTTGGTTTTCATTAAGACTTGTGCTTGAGGTGATTGTAGCCGTATTAGTGCACTGAGAACTGAGCACTCAGTAGTCATGTGATCACTTGAAACAATTCAGTACTGTCCGTGATACTTTTTTTATTTTGCACTAACATATAATTTTGAGGACAAGCTTTCGTGGGGTATGTCCCCTTCTTCAAAGTCCAAGCAGTACTCAGCAGTATCACTACTGAATTGTTTCTGATTAAGACTTGTAAAATTATTGAAAGGTCTACCTTATATCTGCAAATGAATAGGTTTAATTAACTAATGGTGGATACCATGTTACAGTTTCATAGTTACATAGTTTGGCTGAAAAATAGACTAAAGTCCATCCAGTTCAACTATAGAAAAAAAAAAGTTATCCTATACCCACAGTCTATCTAGAGGAAGGCAAAAACCCAACAAAGCATGATCCAATTTGCTCCTGCAGGGGAAAAAAATATTTCCTGATCCCCCTAGAGGCAATCGGATATTCACTGGATCAACTTTACCTATAAATGTTAATATCCAGTTATATTATGTGTATCTAGGAAAGAATCCAGGCCTTTTTTAAATCCACTGAGATGGCCAGAACCAACTGTTGAGTCTATGCCACATTTTCACAGCTCTTGCTGTGAAGAAACCTTTCCGTATTCGGAGATTAAGTCTCTTCCTCCAGATGTAAAGAGTGCCCCCTTGTCGTCTGTGAAGACCTCAGAGTAACTCTACACTGAGCTCATGATGTGAACCACTGATGTATTTATACATGTTGATCATATCCCCCCTTAATCTCCTCTTCTCAAGAGAGAATAAATTCAGTTCCTCTAATCTTTCCTTATAGCTGAGCTCCTCCAGGCCTCTTATCAGTTTGGTTGCACTTTCTCCAGTTCCCCAATGTTCTTTTGTGAATTGTGAAGTGTTGCCCAAAACTGAACTGTATATTCCAGATGAGGTTTTACTAATGATTTTTACAGGGGTAAAATGATATCTCTCTCTCGAGTCTATACCTCTTTTAATACAAGAGAGTATTCATATCAGTTCTCATTCTGTGTTTGGCATTGAATTGTAATTGGAAATTTCCAGATGAATAAGTGAGTTTAGCTCAGTGTAAAGAGTTTGTAAGGAGGAAGGTAAGAATTGTTTATTGCAGAAGAGTTCTGCTCACAAATTTGTTTATTTTCTATATGTTTCTAATATAGCATTGAAACATGGAGTTCCTCCTTTAGCAAAACTCTTTTCACCCTACAGGGGTTTTGTGCATTTTATGTTTTTGGCTAGAAAGCTTTGTAAGGTGTAAATCAGCCCCCACCTGTATATTAAGGAACATAACTTTATTTCTGTTCTAAAGTCTCTAGCCACCAGGCTTTTGTACTGTACAACTGGAGTTCTTCTGAGGCGTCTAGAAGGTGACTGTACTTTGCAAGGTGTCACTCATGTAATTGTGGATGAAGTTCATGAAAGAACCGAGGAAAGGTAACCATATATATTCCAAAATTTGTTTACAGCTAGCATTTATTATTGCCTACATTCATATAAAGCCACATTTTACTATTTTCTTTAATTCAGTGACTTCTTGTTGTTGGTCTTGAAAAATGTTATGAGCAAGCGACCTGACCTGAAGATCTTGCTTATGAGTGCCACTGTCAATGCTGAGCTGTTTTCACAGTACTTCAGTGATTGCCCAATTGTTCACATACCAGGTAAGAGATCACTTTTTTTGCAGCAACTGGCTATTCTCATGCACCCTTTAATTATGGTAGGGGTTGTGTGTCCTCATTTAGACAGGTGGTAAAAACTGGTGGTTCAGCTTTTTTTTTTTTTTTTTTTTTTTTTTTTACCTCTTACCTCTTAACAAGGCAGCTGGAGCGGAGTGTACACATGCCACAACCAAGCTGCTTTGCTTCATGGCAGCAACAAATTTAACTTGGCTTCTCAAGTTCACAGGTGCCACAACCTGTTAATCTCTCCTACTGAAGTAAATAGGATGGTGCAGGAACTGCAAGACAAATGTCATTCAGATGGTAGTCAGTTTCCCTGTTCTACTGCCTGTTGAAAATGCAGACATAAAGTGAAACACTACAGTAAAACTACAACGGTAGACTTGCAAGGTACCTAGATTTCTTTCACGATATAGTTGCATAGTCTGGTTGAAAAAAGACACAAGTCAACCTAGTTCAACCAAGAAAAGGAAGGAAAAAAAAAGATATTTTTCAATACTTGCAGAAAACTATGCACTGAATTTTTTTTTTTTTTTTTTTTATATATCTTACAATCGGGCAGGTGCTTGCATGTTCACAAATTTTGCTGGTTCTAAGAGCAGTCCAAGTATCAGTAAACTCTAATGTTAGACGTCCATGTGTAACTGTCTTCCCATCCCTATTTGTCTTATGGTTCTGACAACCAATATCAGTTCATTTGTGGCATAGCTTCTCTTTTTCTCTTCTCCATAACATGAGGAAAGAGATAGTACAATCACAGCAATTTTTACAAGGATTGAAAAACTTTGTGTACAGCAATTAGGGCTTCTGACTTTGGAAGCATTGTTATTGCTTCCTAGGGCTACCACAAAGAGTCAGTCTTTGTGCTGGGCTTTTAGGGTTGGGTTGGGCAATTTTTTAACACGCCCAAAAGAAACCTGTTCTGAGACAAATAGTCATTCACCTGGAACATGTACAGTATGTAGCCATTGAGGATTTCTAATCGTACGTCGTACATACCTGTTTTGGACAGTGATTGAAAATGCAGTAAAACATTAGATTGGCAAAATGACCAAACAGCTTGCATTTTTAGAAAAATTCAGTAATGGCAGCCCATATCTTTCAAATCTGGCATCTAAAATATCTCTACATATACAGTCCAAAAAAGAATGACTGTTTTCAAACCACAATGGCGATATAAACAAATAAAAAATCTAATAAAAAAAGAGAAACGGAAACCACAAAAAGACTGGGACTCCATGGTGGATAACATACAGAAGAGCTCTAGATCTCTTTCTGTTCGTGAGACGGCCCGTAAGGTATTAACCCGCTGATATTTTACCCCCCTCTTGACTACACATCATGTTCCCAGAGACTTCCCAGCTTTGCTTCCAGGGCTGTGCCCTAACTGGCACCCTTGTACATACATTTTGGGCCTGTCCAGGCATTTCATTGATATGGAATAAGATTTCTGCAGTGGTCTCTGCTGTGGCTGATGCCCCGGTGCATTTGTCTATGCAGACTTTCCTACTGGGAGCCCATATCCCTGGAATACCCAATGAGGCTATGAGATTGATTCACACCATCTGTGTCTCAGCCCTATGGGCCATTTGCCTTCATTGAAAATTACCTACGGTACCATTAGCCTCAATTTTACGAAGAGTCGATGTGGTGCTCATGGAATGTATTCACTTTACGTTACTGGATAGGATGCACTTATTTGACAAAAAATGGGTGTTTGAAAAACTCATAGACATTTACTGTCTGACCAATGATTATTCATGCTTTAATTGATGGCGTATTTCTGTTGGTGGCTTTATTGCTCTGCCTACCTCACTCATGTGCTTAACTTTTATGTTCTACATAACTGTACCTATTTGGAATGAATATTACAGATGTGCCTTCTTTTTCTGTTGTATGTTATACCTTATGCTGTTAAGCTGTTTTTGCAGCCTATTTCTTAATAAATAAAAACGTTTGTATACAAGAAAGGAAAAAAGACTGCAGGCCATTTCCCCTCTAAGACTATCTTCACACCTGTACAACAATGTGCTCCTGGTTTTGCACATTTTTGGTGCGGAGTGTTTAGGGCAGCTAATTTATTTCAGTAGGTTTCCCTACATGCGACAATCGCACAAAAGAAATTGCAGCACACTACAACACACTGAAATAAGTTACCATGTGTTGTAATGTGATTTAGCACAAGTGTGTTGGTTGGCAGAGGTGGCTCTTCAATTAGGCAGTCACTTAAGGCCTCACACTCACAGGGGCCTCACAGCTGCCTAATTTGCCTAAGGCTATGTTCACACTTGTCTGGTGTGAATTTGCCATCCATTTTCACTGTGAATCTCCAAAGCAGCTGTTCAGCTGCAATTTCCAGATACGGTTCATATGTGAATTTTTGAGCCGCGACCATCGGCATCTTTAACAATAGCTGGTTGTTAAGGAGGGTTCCTGGAAGCCAGCCAACAAGTCCTTAACGAAATGAAAATGAAGAAAAAAAAAAGAAGCTGTTTGGTCCCCCTCCCGAATCCATACCAGACCCTTGACCTCTTGCCATGCACGTAACATATATGTGCAGCAGCGAGTGACAGAGCTTTATCTGCTGAAAGCACATTCCCTTCACAGTGACCAATCTGTCCAGAACAGCTCTCGGTCTTCACCAAGGATCAGGAGCTGGCAGGACTGGCTCTCAGTGGCCATGTGATAGGCCTGCTGTTCCTGACTCTGTTAAAGGGATGCTGTGGCTGGATGGAAAGACATGTCTGTCTTAAATTGGTTAATGAAGCAGCAGTGTGGCCCTGGTAAGGCTATACCAGGCATGTCCAAAGTCCGGCCCGCGGGCCATTTACGGCCCGGGGGGGTCGGTTTAATACGGCCCTCCAACAGCCTTCCCTGCTCTGTGTAATGTGGCCCTCCCTTCTATGGCAGACAGTCTGCTGCTTGAGAGCAGAGGGCAGTGCGCATTCCTGACTGCGGCGCGTTCTCCCTGGTCTGTGTAAATGCGGCTGTCGCACGGCCCTCCCTTCTGTGGCAGACAGTCTTCTGCTTGAGAGCAGTGCGCATGCGTGACTGCGCCGTGCTGGGAGCGACAGAGGGCCAGGGCCGGGCTTCCAGCGTGAAGTGTGTTTCTCTTCCCCTCCCGGCTGCCGAGCAGAGACTTCAGCTCCAGCTACCTTTTTCACCCTTCACATTAGTGCAGGTAAGTTTTTTTTTTTTTTTTTTTTTTTTTTTTTTAATTTATTTTCAATACATTGTGAAAACTCAGCTGTCAGTTGATCTTAATGTTATGAAATGAAAAGTATGTTGTTTGCAATTAACTTGGCATAAAATAATTTATTTGCATTTAATTGTAATGGTTCAAAGAATGTTCGGAAAAATGTTCGACCCTCCACATGTTCACTTCATCCAATTTGGCCCTCTTTGAAAAAAGTTTGGACACCCCTGGGCTATACTATTGCTGTATAAATGTCCCCCTATATTGATGCTGATTTCCTGGAAAGCAGCACAGTAAGTTTTGTGGCAGTATAGGAAAATGTTACCTATGTACTTGACCCAAAACTTTCATTAACCACTTAAGCTCTGGAAGATTTTACCCCCTTTATGACCAGGCCATTTTTTTTCTATTCGCTACTACACTACTTTAAATGGCACTTGTGAGGTCATGCAATGCTGTACCCAAATGAAATTTATATCATTTTTTTTTTTCATTCGAATAGAGCTTTCTTTTGGTGGTATGTGATCACCACTGGGTTTTTATTATATAAAAAAAAAAATTATTTATTACATTTTTATTAAATAAAACAAAAAAAAACCCAATATTTTCTACTTTCCTGTATAAAACATATCCAATAAAATTAAAAACAAAAATCAAATTTCTTCATAAATTTAGGCCAAAATGTACTGTTACAGTGCTCAGCATAAATGAGTACACCCAAACAGATTTGTCAGAAAACCTTTCCTTTCAGAATCAACATTTTCTATGGGACGCTATACTACAAAATACTCCCACAAATGCGGGTCATCAAATACAAACAAATATATGTTCTTCAGCACTTCTTATCAAATGGCATCCTTCAATTTGTTCAAATTACGGGGTTTATGAGTGTACACAGCTCTTCAGGTATCCCCATAGGAAGAAATCATATGATAAGTCAGTAAAATTATTCTCACGGATTCACGACTCAACCCTAACACAATTGCATGTCTTTGAGCAGACCATCCCGGGATCCTAATCAGCACCTCTCTCATCCTTTCAATGTTTTCTGGCATCCTTGCAGTGTGGGCAGGGCCTGGTGGTTTCTTGTTCATAATGTTTTCCGGGTTGTTCTGAAATGTTCAACCTTCCTGAGGATTGTATTGTGACAGGGAACAGCCCCATGTCAACCAACAACATTGAAATCTCGACTAAAGCGACGCTCTGATAGACTCACCACTTCGAAAAAAAGCTGTTGTAAGCAAACAAACGATGTTGTAATGTCCACTGCTTCATTGTGGCTGAATTGGTATTTCGGTGGTGGGGGGAAAGCTCGTCCTCCTCCCATTACCACTTAACATGTATTATCTGTTCAAAAAAACGTCCGACTCTCGTCGGTCACCCTGTATAAGAGTTTGATGTCACAGTGATATTCTGAGTTGCTACATTATAGCCGATATTGTCACACCAAGCTACTGCATGATGTCAGTTATGCCATGGTGATCACACAGCTTCATTTATACAGTGGGTAAAATAAGTATTGAACATGTCACCATTTTTCTCAGTAAATATATTTCTAAAGGTGCTATGGACATGAAATGTTCACCACGTGTCGGTCACAACCCATGCAGTTCATACATACAAATAAACCAAAACAAATTCAGAAATTAACGAGTTACTAAATCCACAACAGTAAAATTAGTCTGTATATGCAGTAAAGCGTTCTTGATATACTCACTGTGGAACCTAAGGGGTTAATCCTCTGCATTTTGTAAAAAGGCTGTTTGATCCTCACTTCTCTGATCAT